GAAGCCCGCGCTGGAGCAAGCTCCTGGCAGGACCTGTGGCCCCATGGAGAGAGGAATCCACGCCAGAGCAGGTTTGCTGGCGGGACTTGTGACCCCGTGGGGGAGCCACGCTGGAGCAGTTTGTGAAGGACTGTCTCCAGCATGGAGTCCCTCTCATGGGAGCAGGGGAACGATGAGAGGAGTCCTCCCCCTGAGGAGGAAGAAGCGGCACAGACAACATGTGATGAACTGACCGTAACCCCCATTCCCCGTCCCCCTGTGCCGCTGAGGGGGGAGGAGGTTGAAGCCGGGAGTGAAGTTGAGCCTGGGAAGATGGGAGGGGTGGGGGGAGGTGTTTTAAGATTTTGATTTTATTTCTCATCCCTCTACTCTGTTTTGCTTAGTAATAAATTAGATGAATTCCCTCTCTAAGTTCGGTCTGTTTTGCTCATGACGATAATTAGCGAGTGATCTCTCCCTGTCCTTATCTTGACCCACAAGCTTTTCATTATACCTTTTCTCCCCTGTCTAGAGAAGGAGGGGAGTGATAGAGCACCTCTGGTGGGCACCTGGCCCCCAGCCAGGGTCAACCCACCACAACAATCAAAATATTCACCTCTCATGCCAAAGTGAAAAAGTTCCTGATGTTAATAGACTGTACTAGTCTGCAAGAGCAAACTGCAGCAGAGGCATGTCAGCACCTCCTGAGTTAAACAAAGGAAGAAGCAACCAGAAACAAAAATTTGTGATCTGTTCCACCCTTATAAACTGGTCTCAACCAAAGTATACTTTGAAGACTTTTTTGAAAAATTGGAGAGTAGGGAGAAAAATTTTCAAAGATAAAGCAGAGCTTGCCTACCATTTTCTAGTTTTAACCATAAATTCCTACAGGAATAATAATTGCACAGATGATTTAAGTAACAGGAAACCAAATAACCAAAGATTTTGAGAAGTAATCAGAATCTACACTGCCTCATCTTTTAGATATTCAAATATGCTTTCAGAGTGTTTGTGTACAAGCACTATTTCAACATCCAAAACCTTTAAGATGTCTCACATTGCAAGTTCCGGGTTTACAAGCTCTCTGTAGCTGCTTATTGTTTTTAAGAAGTAAAAATTAAGTGGTGGGTGTGGTAAACTGTTTCCTCCATCACCATAAGATAGAAAGTACACAGCAGATCTCAAAATGACTGAATGCCTCTCCACCTCCATGCTCAAAATGGTCCAATAAAGCAGTAATCTTTACTCCCTCTCCCACCGGTCTACTCTAAGGCTGTCCAGCAAGGCTCAGGAGACCCAAGAATGAATTAGACTGAAGAATGAACGCCTTGGAAGGCTAAGAATACTAAAACTGGGAACTGGTTGGTAGGAGCAAAGGTTAGGTTGGAATAAGAAATACAATTAGACAGGCAACCAGCACAGATGGGAAAGTGGGAGAAATCTGAAAGAAATAGCACTTCCTTCCCAGTCAGTCAGTGACAGTTCACAGATCATTAATCTAGAATCTAAAAATATCTAGACAACTGTACCACTTAACAGAAAAGAGAGATTAAGAAGTGCATGTCTACATACTCAGACAATTTTTTAAATTTAAGTCATGAATTAGAATAAGATCCAACTTCACGATTAGAGCTCAAAATTGGCTAGGTGCTTCTGTGGAAATTCCATACCTAGACTATCCATACTCAGGTTTTCAACTGAACTTATAGCTCTGGCAATGATTCTTGTAGGATATGGCATCTGTTGGCACAGAACCAGCCAACAGGAAAAAGCAAGCATGGAGGCACTTAATGCTTTCATGCTAAGACACATTTACAAGATTGAGGGATCACAGCCAGTTCTCCAGTACTGCAGTTCAAAGCAAACTCCAATGAAATTCTCACTAATTTCACTTAAGTATTAGTTTTGACACAGGGGAGTTTTGTGGTCAGATGTTATATCCCTATCCTGAAGATTTTCATCAACTCATGCTTAAGAAGAGGACTTTGCCTTACCTCCTGAATAAGAGCATTATGTCGCAACACTTTACGTGCTTTCATGATACGAACTATAGCAGCTTGAAGATACATTTTCCTGTCTTCATCTACAGCACTTCTAGTCTGTTCCATCTCCTGCAACATAGGAAGAACAGTAATGCTTAAAATACAGTAAGAATAAACACTTTATAAAAGTATCTTGAATCTATACTTTTTACTTTATTGAAAGCAGTCAATTAATACAAAAATCTAGGTGAAGTTCAATTCCAGGCAAAGTACTTCCATAAATCAAGAATACCAGGTTTCATAAAAAACAGCAGGAAAGTAGGAGAGAGACATCCAAACCAGCGCTTTTGCAACGGAGAAAGGCAGGCAGAATTTATTATAATGTATTGAGTTTGGCAGCACATACATCTCTTGTACAAAATCCTACGTCTTACGAGATACAGAGGGAACACAGATTATCAACACTGGAGTTAAGTTTAGCTGACAAAGGACACAAAACCATAGGAAAACAGAGTTGATTGGTTCTGCTGTTCCTGGAATAAGATACTTTTAAAACCACTACCAACAAAAAGTGTCATTAAAGAAGAAGTTAATGTCAATCCCATTTTGTACAAGAGGAATAGCTCATTTATCATCTTCTTTCTTAGTCCCTATTCCATCTTCTCCTGCCTATATTTTAAGTACAAAAAAGTTTGCAGTGCTTAAGCTTTAAACTTAAACAATTTCTTTATGGTGATGTAAATCTTACACAGGGACCCTTACATCTGCTTATACCAAATTTTAGAAAAATAAGCTTCCTAAGCTGTTCAAGCTAGAAACATCAAGGAATACTTGCCTGTGGCGTGTCTTTCTGCATTGATGTAGTAATTTTAAATTTTGTTCGTTTACTGCTGAAGTTCATATTTAATGAAAATGTAGACTCTGCCTCTATATCTTCCTGCAATAAAGAATCTTTTTAAAAAAAGCCAGAAATGGAACCAGAAAATGATAACGATTTACTTTGAAAGTCACAGTTAGGGGCTTGCACACGTACAACATTTTCAGATTTGTAGTTGGAAATTCTAAAATGCCACTTGAAACAGGTCAAATTTTTAAGCTACGATTTAACTAACCTAGAAAACAAGTTTATTTTAGAAAAAACGACAATGAACTCTGACATACATGAATTTTGTTAACAAGTCAATATGATTAAAGCAATTTCTGTTTTAATACTTCATCAGCTTATCCTAGTTGCAAACACTCTCCATTTAAACTCATTTTCTCCCTGCAAACAAAGTAGGATTTGCATTTATTTACGGCAGAACATCAAGAGAGAGGTGTTGCTTTCACAACTATTACTAATATTGCCTTCCAGAATTTAAGGAAAAACATCCAAGCATTTTGTTACGTTATAGCAAAAACAGTTGACAAGCTGCAACTTCTGCAGTTCCACATCGATCTGTACGTTTCTAATTTTTTCCTGTCAGAATCTCAGCTCTTTTCCACATGTAAAAGTCCATTTCTTTCAATAAATGGTAACTATTCCCTGCAGTCCAAACGCTTTTACATTCAGCTAACAGGATGACCTGACCAATCTTTGCAGTTTCCAGGCAAGAGCCTGTACAAGCGTTAGCAATTTCCAGCAGAATAGTTACTGGGCTTCTTAGACTTTGTAAACTTGCCAAACCACGATTGCCTCAAGCACAAATACTTTAGTAAACGCAGTCAATATTTATCTAAATATATACTCAAAACAATATTAATTCTAATTTTATGTTCTGCAACAAATATTCTTTATTATAATAATATAATATCCAGGCATAGTACAGAAAATTTAACATGAAAGGGCAAAGATCAACAGCTTTAGAAAATATAAGCCAACATTAAATTTTAGCATTATTCTGCTTACATCATTGAGTATAAACCAAAATAAATTGTGTGTTGTGCATCAAAAAGAAAGATTCTAATGAACCAATAAGGATTTTGCCAAAGGTTTTTTCTTTTTTTTCTTTTTCTCTTTCAAAAATACATCAAACAAATGAAAATAAACTACAACAGTTAATACACTGTGCTTTTCTGTGTGGCTCAGATACAGGTAGAGAGAAGTTAGTGTATTTAATTTCCCTGCTTAAGCCACTAAAGTTCACTGGCTTATTCAATAAGGAAGCTGACATACTGTCTACAGATCTGCTTTCACATTGCTGGATGGATTGCAAAGAAAACAGAATTAGTGGAGATGTTTGAATACAATAGCCTGGAAGTTAAAGAACCAGAAAATGCAGTGGTAAACATTAAAAAGTAAATGGCTTGGAAAGCTGTATTGTTCACTTTTCAGTGACATATGCTTAAAGAAACTGGGCAAACCTTATACAACAGGCATAAATAAATGTAAATCCTTAAAATAATGGGCAACTTTCTAAGATTATGAAAAATCTCACTGTTTTCTGTAATAGCTCCCAGTGTTATATTTCACCCATGGTTTAACAGACATCTTCCCAGCCACTGTTCCAACCTGAGCTCATTTCTAGATATTGGAAGCATGTCCTATGCTTCAGCCAAGCATCAGATCTTCCTTGTGATCTCACTTTCCATTTTCTAATATTTGCCTGGTTAAAAAAAAAAGCAGCTATCAGAGCAGCTTTGGATTTCTTCTTGTAAGCGAACAGCTTATCTCAGTTTGTTCTGCCTGATACTGTCTAAATAATGGGCTTTCTGGGCTAGCTGGAAGCACATGCTGAAGTCTGTATGGTAAGCACAGGCACTTCTGTAGTGTTTTGTACATAACAGACGTCTGTGCCCTTTGTTCTATGGGAAAAAGGGTAACTGGTTTCACGTAGGTCATACAGAAGTATGAGGCAGAGTCAGAAACTGAACCTGTATCAACCATTGCCTTAACCACATACAAAGCCCACATATTACTGGAATTCCATGAAACTCATGGAATGATAGAGTTTGGCAAATTGCAGCAAAGCTCTCACGCAAGCCCTCCTTGCTCCCTTTCCTCCTCCTTCCTCCTCCTGTAATCTATCATCAAGGAAGAACATGGTTGCTGTTAATTTCAGTCTCTTAATCCCACAAGTTTTTTTCTTTATTTTTTTATTTTTTAAGATCTCTGTAACAGTCTTTCGTTTACTTCTCAAGCTCCTTCCCATGATTCAGTAAAACTCTGAAAGTGGTGTATTTAAATGAGTACTCCCCTCCAACAGCAGTGTGTCTAAAGGCATATGGATGAAATGCAACAGAAACAATAAACAGTCCTAGCATTATTACCTTCTCAGCATACCATGCTGTTATAGGCATAGAAAGCCCATATGACACAGACAGTCTACTTCCTCCTGTCTCTTTCCTTATAAATATAGATTTATAATGGTTCACAAGGGTCATAATACAGTTTAGGAGGAAAAAAAAAGCAATCAGCGAATTCTTTTATATTAAAAAAGCCCTCAAGAAATCTTAGAATCACAAGATGGAAAACACAAAACTTTTTTATATCATTACTGCATACCTTGTCTGAGTCATGGTTGATCATTTTGACATCAAGTAAGGATTTGATGGTTTTTGTCAGTTCCTTCTCATTCATTTGTGTACTATCCTGAAGCTCCTTGTAACTGACAGTTTCACTGTTGTTGAAGGCAAGCAACACTGCCATTTGGTATGTTGTGACCATGGCTACATAAGGTTTGCACAAATAATTCATTTTTACTTCACCTGTAAGAATACAAAGTGGTATTTTATAAACTGATGGAATGTGAAGAAAAGTCATCTGAAGCCTAACTACTAGAGCTCCTCGTACATTTCCAGACGCTCGATTCACAACTAAGTAGGTATTTAATACTTGGCATGGGAAGATGAAAACTGATGTTGTGAATTTACACATATAGGATGCGGTCTGCAACAGCAAACCCTCTGATTAACTACGAATACCAGAACAATAGTATTTTCAAGAAAAAAGGAAACCTGTGTTGAATTTGAATAATGTAATATAATTTATAGTAATAAAAAAAGGAAATTCTAAATAGCCTCAACACATTGCAATGCATAAACTTCAATTAGTAATAGCTTACAAAAGAATCACAGAATAGTGACTGCAGGAAAGTTGTTCCAAGGAAAGATTTAAAAACAAAATAAAAGACTTGTCCCGTAATTTTTTTTTTTTTTTTACAATATTCTTATATTCTTTAAATTCCCCTGAAATTTAACAAAAAAAAAAAGCACTGAAAAAATCTACCTCAAAGCAGATTCAGATTTTTCTGTGTGAAGGTGAGTGTGAGTTAATGGCAACCTTCTGTTATCAGAACTAAAATTTCATTACATTTATTACTGTATGCTAGTCTGGTTTTCACCTGCATGTAATATGTTTTGGTGCTCAGTTGTTAAAGCCTGATACGGAAAGCACTCGAAATAAAATACTGATACTTACTAAACTAAGCTACAATTTTATACATCTCTTCTATTTTTTTAACATTTATTTCTATATAGTAAACATAAACATAAGTGTGTATATATATGTATTTACTTAGATACTTACATATCTGAGTAAAATAGCATAATATGCATTCTTAAAATTATATAATAATCAACTAAGGGACATCTGATACTACAGAAACAATTCCAGGGCAATTGTTATTAACTCAGCAGTTCTGCAGTGCTGTTTTGTAGTTAACAACATACACCTCTAGTTTTACTTGGATTTAATAAAGCACAGATAACATACGCAAGTTTACAAATCTGCTTGGTAGAATACCATGGGACAAA